GAGTCCGAAGAAAGCGGAAACATTCGAATGCCCGGCTTTCATGGTTATTTTTCTGCTTGTGTTGAATCTCGGAATAGGGACATGATCGCGGCTGATGATGGTAGAAGCAAGATGTAAAACAAGTATTTTTTTAATGAGATAAAAGAAAAGATCAATTCGCTATGAATCTCTATAGGAACGTAAAACAAAAGAACTCTCAAAACGTAATTACTGTTTTTATATTGTTAAATTTTACTGGCGAAACGCAGGTCTGCATTTATAAGCTTTCCTTAGATAATTGTTATCTCGATGCTTCGAGTCTTTTCTCCGGTATCGTTGTTAGACATTCCATAAGATAGATGGCTGTATCTCAGCACAGTCCTAGATCGTCTTAGATGCTATCCAGGATAACATAAAATAGCCATATATCAGGAAGACCACAAAAATCGATGAATAGATTGCAAGGCGTTAGATATCAAGCACGCATCTCTTATGGGTAAAAAAACAAATCCCCAAATGTCAGGTGCTGTTCATACGAGTTAAAATGTCGCTTGTAAGGCCCGCAAGTGCTTAGACATCACATGTCCTTAAAAGTTATCGAGAGTAACGTAATATGACATATGCGTGAATAAAGTGTGTAGTATGCTGCCTCTTACTAAGAACTGCAATTCTGTATATAGATCGCTAAAAAGCGCCAATGAAACATATATGACGAAAAATTATTGTATGTGCCATTTGGTAATACGCAGACCATTGAATTCACGTATCGAATCTGCTAGCTAGCTGTAGGTGGGGCGAATATACAGTTCAGCAAAATTTCCAGAACCTGGAGAGGGACCTTAAGGGTACAATGCTTAGTAAGCTTATTGATTGTAGGTGAAGGCTATCATTAGGTTATCAGGGAAACCTTCATCGAAGATTACGAGTATGAGCATCGTGCGCGACAATGATACTGAAAAAAATCAGTTGCGGTTCCCATGATTGACCTTCTTATTTAGTCAGAGTGCAAAAGAAAAGAGATATATTGGGTTAAGCTGAAAGCTTCCGTTAGAGCTCATTGATGGCGCTAGAGTGGGATTGGTTGATTTCATTTAGTATCTAGCTAGAAAATAATTTCCAAGATGATCGTTCTTACTGTGCTACAATCCGAACATCGGGGTACCTGATTATAACCTAACCTAACCTAACCTATGCGGCATAGCTAGGAAGACGGAAACCCTTTTATTGCGCAGGATACACTGACTATCAAAACGACAGGCAAAACTTGTAGGAGACGAAACACTATCTGACTAAGGTAAGGCGAATATCACTATCGTTTAAAGCAGTTAAAAGTGACGAAAACTTTTTACTCAATTCAAATCAAAAGACTGTTTCCTTGAAATAATACTAAGAACAACCTGATTGATATCGAGGCTCAGAATCTAATATATATATATATATATATAAATGGCGTCTGCACATGTGGCAGATCAAACCAAAACTACTATATTTGTAGTTCTTAATGCTAAATTATTCCAAGAATTAACTTGGAAGCAACTTCTTCGCCTCCAACGCCTAACAAATATGTACAGCACTGAAACAGGCTGTAGTCGGCGTCTAAGGACAAGACTTTCTGAACTGTCAAGTGAAATATAGGGATTGCAGCGTGACCCTGTGCCCTGTCCACTGATTGAAAGAGTCGTCCTGAACGATGTCGCACGATTTTTTTTACCTACATGTAACGATAGCATTTGAGGTGATTATCTATTAGTGTTCTGCTCTATACTTAAGACATATGGTTGCATCTATCCTCGCGTTGCAGCGCATCACGCGCATTTTCTCTTTACTCACTGCCGTCTGTTATATATTAATATATAGCGCATTATGGCATCCTTGTTGAGTCGCCATATTGTTCACTTTTTCTCTGTTACGTAGCCAATGACCGCTTTATCTCGTGTCTGTTGGGTCGGATATCTTCATCGCCGTTAAAATTCGCTGTTACTTCGAATGTCTATACATCGTGCCTTTCCTTTGTGATGATTTGGGGTTTCTGTGTGTATCGTCGCAGAGATCTTTCTGTGTTTATTGCGGTGGCGTGTGATTGGTTTGATGTTAAGCAATTGTTTTTATTTTAATAGGTATTCGATTTAGCTTTTTACTGGAAAATGTTTTAACTATTCGATCGTTAGTCCTGCTCTGATCTCGCTGGGTAGCTAAATGTCTAGCTGAAACATGAAGGCAAGCGTATAGCTTCTTCGATCCCTTCACAAGCGTTCTAAAGGGTGAGGCTTGGCAAATTGTTACGCTATTATTTAACTACAGGTATAAGCAGCATCATGCTTGCCGTAACCGGATTGTCAAGTTGCTTAAAATAAAAGATCTGTTGCACTTGTAGATCCTTTTTTTCTTAACTGTAATAGTCCGTATTGTGCAATGGCGCCTGCTGTGCGCCCCGGTCTCGCCAGCGTAATCTTGTCCGCTTGCTATAGTTTCTAGTAAGTTCATATGGCAGCGAATGATATCTCGAATATCGTTCTGATGCAGTTCCCTGAAAAGTCGACTTGGGTATTTCTTTTGGGCGCATATGATTATGACGCGTTTACATGTACACTGTAGATTAATTTGTCATATAGTGTAATTTTTTTAAACTTTACTCTTTGTGGATTGTCATGTTGTTTGGTAATTTTTCTTCGAACGTGTATAGTTGGTGTCCTCAAGTTATATAGTGATATATTTCTCTAACATTTGAAGTCAACTCGTTCGTGCGAACCCGTCATTGAATATTGCGGAAGACGTTCTCCTTTTGTATACCTCTATTTGAGGTTAGTACGCGACGCATGGCGTATCGGTGCAATTTTCGTATGTGTATTAATTCATAAGCTGGTCATTCCTATCTGCTGTAAATGTTATTAATGATGTAGTATCTTCCTGGGTAAGTTCTTTTTGAAGACCTCGTGCTACTGTAAGTAATCACGGCGTGCAGTCGACGATTTGTACGGCTGTTCGTCGAAACCTTCATCTTTTTTAAGCTTGTTCAACATTTGCTCCCTCGGCATTCTACTCTTGTTTTCCAGTGCGCACCTAAGAAAAGTATTTCTTTTTTGGTCTTGTTAAATTTGTGAATGTAGGCAGAATTTTTTCTGTATTATTTTTCGTGAGCCCGATGATTGCTATTACGATTAAGTTCTACTTACTTCTAGGTTGCTCGACTATTAGACATTCGCTAGTTTATTAATCACGCTTAGATATGAGATGTTCTCTGTACCATTGATCTGTATGAAGTTCCATTGGGGTTGTTGCTCTTTTGTATTACAGTTACCGTGGCAATTTTTCGAGTATTGTGGTATATGCAGGTAATCAAGACCAGCTATTAGTGCCTTGATTGTTGATGCCTGGTTGTACTGTTCATATGCTTTGTGGTTTTTTTTTAAAACGTTTGATAAAATATTGCACCTTTATTTTTACCGCTAATACAGCAAATTGTGTTTCTGAGTTTTCTGATGTGATGCCAGATCATTGGCAGCTACATATAGGGCAGCGAAGACGATTCTGTCGCTCTGTTCTTAACGACTACTCTTTTAATTTATGCCTTAACTCGATATCCATTACGCATTATGATTCAGATAAAGAGAGGAAAAAATATAAAAATCCTATGACACGATCTAGGTCGCTTGTATTGAATAAACAAATACTTTTTCTTATCATATGTATTCATCCATATATATATATATATATACGCTTCAAGGTGATGTCTGGTCAATTAGTTGCCCTCACCCACTGATGCAAGAACTTTCTAATTGTCATCGACTTATCCCTTATGACCATTCGATTCAGGAGTAGCTACTGCTGTAACACGAAAGTAAAGAAAAGTTGACATCTTTGTGTCATCGTTGCCCAACGTCCTTTCTAGCTCAACCTACGTCGCACATAGTGATTTTTTACTTTTTTAATGAACGATTGTAGAATTTTTACATACATCTTATCTGAATGCCCCCCTTTCCCCGCGCACTTTTAAATAGACCCACTTCCATTCATCTAAAGCCATCCCGCTTCGTTATCCCTCTTCGAACAGAATCTTCTTAGACTAATGATTTCCGACACTTTCTACGCCTGATTGTTCACCCTCTATGTTTCGCTGTAGTTCCAAAATAGAGCCCGATTCTATCCACTCATCTGTAATTCGTCTGCTCAGAAGCCAGAACGATGCCCGAACGAGTTACCGAATCAAGTCAACTGTCGCTTGTCAATGCTTCGGTACGATTAACCGAACATCGAAGTGGTCGGGAACTCTCACATCGGTCACCGATATGAATATTGCGTGACGGCTATCTCGATGACCCGCAATTTTCTCACACGTTTGCTAATCACACCAAATATCTACTTGAGTTCACTCCGACTTTGACGTCTGCTATACAACAAGCACAAAGTTTACTGTCAACTTCGTTGTCCAGCCGGTCTACTTGTAGATACAAGTTTTCAAAGTTGAGCATCTGATCGACTTGTTTCAATAGCTGCCGTTCGGTGAAACATGTTATGGCAAAGCCTATTGGCTTTGCCTTAACATGAGGCGTGGACGCTCCTCACTTAAATCGGTCACTAAAGATATTTCCTTATTTATTTGATAGGTCTAGATAGCTTTCTTTTACATTCTATAGCGATTCTATATAGTGGTGACTTAGCTTAGCATCTTTGATTATCGTTACTCGATAGATCAATCGATAGAGATACCTTCTTAGCGCGGCTTTTTAAGGACCTTCATAGTGGACCCATAAAATTTACCGTACTCTTTTATTGTTATGGTTAGAGCTATAATATCCACCAAAAGGAGTTAGATTATAATTCCTTTTACGATATATATAAATAAGGCCAATACTCCGAATCCATAAACGTAGACAAACAGATATATCGTTGTACTAATAGGATTACGCCGAGAAGCACAAGTCAATCGGCTAAACTTCCCACAAAGGTGCTTCCTCTGCTAACGAGTCACCACGACTCGAATGATGATTGTTGTTTTCGACAAACTGAGTCCAATTGTAAGAAAAATCGTAGTATACGTTTTATTTACTGTTAACGAAAGTTTGAGAAGCTGAATCATACCAAGTAACCTAGGTTTCCTTTAAATACTCTGCCAAGTTGGTATATTGACGCTCATAGTAGATGAGGTATCGATATTGCTCAATGGACCCCGTTTCAAACGGCCGTCGTGAATTTTTTCGATGAAGTGGACTAGCTCGAATCAGTGGAACAAACAGAAGGATGCTATTTGATCCTTGCAAGATCGCAGTATCTGACAAACATTGTCGTTCGTTCTTCAACTAGCTATCAATGTCTGTGACACTACAACGGATGAGTTGTCCTCGACCCTGCGACCACTGCTGCATAGATCTTATCCTCTATTGGACTCAATATGGATTCTCTGGAAGCAGAAACAATTTATTAGTTATTATCGGTTACCGAGTAAAGTGTATGATCGAAAAAGACACGTTGAATCTGTTAAAAAAACAATTCGATATATAATAGCAAACACTCCGTACGTTACCAGCGTGTTGGCTACAAAATCTCATAGAAATCTATGGATTAGGTTAATCCCGTGGGCGGTACATAAGACAACAACTATAAACAGAGTTAGCGGTAGGTATAATGAGGAGTAGTGCGGTGGAGTAAATGGTGTTTGTCTAGTGTATATATAACTGAGAGCTTTGGTCGCACTGCTACACCGAGTGACGTTTGCCTGATGGCACCTATCAGTTAGACGTTTCGTGATGGCCATGAGCGAACTGTGTCAGAGGTGTGAACACTGATGTTGCTATTAACGGGAATGGCTAAAACTGTGTAAGTATGTCACCGATCGGTGACATGAGGCACCGCTCGTTCTAGGTCAGTCGTTAGCGTTTGGCCTGATTTTAGCTGCGGCGGATCATTCATCCGCAAAATGAAGCCCTTAATTGAGAAGACAATTGATCCTTGCTTGGTTCATGCAATGCCAAATCTGTCGTGTCGATCACCAGCTAATTATATACGTAATATCGTGCCTCATCGTGCCTGGTGATACACACATTAACGGCTATTCTCGAGACAGGTGTCTTTATCACAAATTGGCTTTTCTACATAAATAGGACAACTGATCCTTGTCAGATTTCTGGTGCTTTTTTGCACCTCTTGGCCCTCTGGATTAGTGACTTCGTGTCCGCGTCCAGTGGCACAACAAACATACTGGTAGCAATTACCTATAGATTAATCCTTTTCAAGTTAGAATTTGTTTGGATAGACAACGGCCTAGTTTAATGCAGAATCAATTCGCTAAAAAAAATTCTTAATAAGACTACGACACGAACAGTTTCGTAAGGAAAACTAATCAGGATAATCTTGGGAGATTTCTTGCCTCGTTTTTCTAAGATCGCTAAGATTTAACAACACCAAATCGAACTTCTCTATATAAGCGCATATGATGTAGTTGATTTTTCGACATATATTTTATGGTGAAAGAAATTTTCTCAATGAGCCATAAATTTTGATGTAAGGCTGTTCAGAACAGATTTTAGACCGACACGGCCTGCCAGATATTGCAAAGGTAGCCGGTTGACTCCATAAAATCACAAATCAATAACCTCATTATTGTTATTACAAAGAACAACAAAGCAACCTGTAATGATATCGAACGGACTGACAGAAAGCTGCCACCAATTACGCAAAGGGTATGGGCCATTGATGTCACGTAATTGTCTGTGCCTAATGCCTGCTTTAATGGGTCTTGTTAATGCTGTCTCTGGGTTTCAAAAATATTAACAAAAGTCCATGACGCAAAATCACTTTCATAGTGTCAAGAAAAGACAATGGACGATTAATAGGCAGCAAGAGATTTTCAACCTGGACATCGCTCAGAACGGTGAACTGTGCATTCAGTTAAACTTCCCAGGTATATTTGCACAGTTAAACGTGTTTTCGATTGTTCTTCAGTTGTGCCTTATAATTAACTTGGTATGATCTTGGGAAGTTACTTGGTTCGCTAGGGTCGTTAGATATATATGGCCACAACGCTTAATATAATCTATTCGGCTTCATTATTGATCGATCTTGCACGCGTGATGCTTAAGGGAATAGGCTCGATTCCTTTTGCCATAATACTACAACAAATTGATGTCACTTACTCTATCAGACATTATTGCATTTACATATTTCGTCCCGGTAGTGACTTTCGTTGGGCATCTTGATAAAGTAGGCTTCTAGGTTTTATTAGGCCAAGTTTTTCCTCAACGACTGATTTAGTTACCTAAATGAACAAAACATGTTCCTGACTTCATGTACGGTCGATGCGGTAAGAAGCCCTGTCAAATTTGTATTCCAGGACTTTCTCGTATTGCCGTACGCTCGACAAAGAGACTGAGGATTTCACCCAGAATTTCACTACTGAACTCTTAACGTAGGACTACGATGGATTACTCAACACCAGAACCCGACAAGCTCCTCCTTAGCAGTAAGGACTCGTAGGAACGTAAGCACCTACAGCACAGATGATGTTAAACAAATGCATACAAACGTTGGACGATTAGGAGATCTTCGATCATTAGCTATAACGTAGAAACAGAACACGAGTAGAGCTACTAGTTATGTTCGAGATTAGTGCGTATATGGTTACCTAGTGATTCATTAAATTATTCGTATTGGTCTTTAAATTTTATTTATTTAAATTTGTTTTACACTTTTAGTTCTACTACACGAAGAAGTACTTCTATAAATTAAATTCTAGAAGTCAGCCAAATTCGCGTTAATGTACACCTAACTCAATACGACACCGGTTCTCAAAAATGGTGCATGTCTTGCTTCCGCTCTTTTACCCTATCGATCAGTGCAAGAATATGCAGGAGTATATCGTCTTATCATAACAGGGTTCATAGTTTTATTAGTTCATACGCGATACGTATGGATACCACGAGTTTAACGCACCGAATTCGGTGTGGATTTCTTAAGGCAATTTTTCCTAGTACTGTCGCCAGCAACGGAACATAGTAAATACGTTAATAGACTTTTTAGACGGTCAATAACATGCAGACACACAACTATATCGTATAGTATATCGCATATACGATGTACACTGTTCTATACTGTTCTCCTAGTTGGGTATTTGTGCCGAAAGGTCTTTAGAATTAGTATTATTAAGGGAAATTTATTTCAACCGCCTCTGCAAGTTCCTAACAAGTAACTATTTTTGCAGAAACACCGATTGTTGTGGCAGTCATTGTAGTTGGCTTCATTGTTACCTGCGTGGGAGCTTGCCTATTTTGTTGGTGTACACCATTGTGGACTTGTGCTAAATGTCTTTGTAAACCAGCTACGTGCTTATATCCAAAAACAGCTTTACTAAGAATTCAAAACTCTTCCGAGCAGAGGCGCGCTAGTCTGAAATAGAACTGGAAGAGTTCAAGGTTAACGAAGAGAGCGCGTGGAAGAAAAAATCGGAGCGTAGATATAGCGTGGAACAGATGCAAAGATTTTCTACGTCTTTGCATCTGTTGCATGCTTTTTCTTTTCTTTTTCTCTCCTTTCCCTTTAGATGCAATTGAATTTTAATTGAAAACAGCTTTGGATCCGAGTATGAAACTGTTTCAGACAGGATTGACGTACCTCGTTTATATGTAATATTAAGTTCTAGAATAAATCGTCTGTTAATACTGCGAAGTGGATACAACTGGCTTCAGTCTGCTAGCCGCCATGGTAGTAACATTCATTGATTGTATGACACAGATCATTTAGAGATAGGTGAGCTGGCGACTGTGTTTCACTAAGCTTCTGCATGAAATGGTCCTCTCGACTGTGTTTCACTAAGCTTCTGCATGAAATGGTCCTCTCAAGAAGGTTTTTCTTCTTTTTCAACATTGATTACTATATAATTCCGTTTGGGCGTATTTCCATGAAAGACAGTGTACATATGTTATAGTGGATAAAAGGATACGGCAGCTCATGGCTTTCGAGATAGTGATTTGGCCTGTTTGTCTATCACAAATTGCCTAGCGGTATTGTTATCACGTTATGGCTAGTTTCGCTCAACTTATGTCCCAGAGGCTATTAATAGGATAAAATTAAGAACGTGATAATGTCGATTAAACACTTTTCGAAACTCTAACAGATTCCAAATATCTATGTGCCACTTAGAACGACAACACGATTTTAATTAATTAAGAGAATAAATTTCGTACAATATACATATGTCTAAAGTTCTTTTGTTTGCCATCTTTCAGTGCTTCGCACGCAGTTCAATAAAATTAGCCGTCTGCTCTAGCGACCGGCTGCTACCCACTCACTATAATGATTAATTAGGGTTATACGAAATGGTCGTGCGCAACCTTGAAACAAAAGCGCCACGTACAGAAATAACCAGTCTGTATGTATTCTAAACAGGAAATTATTGCCTCATGTGTTGATCTAAAGCAATGATTAATGCGTCATAACCTATGTTGTAGATACTTAACCTAGGTGAGGAGCGTGATCAAGGAAGGCTTGAAGAAATACAGAAGAATATTGTAACCTCTTTAAGACAAACAGGAGAAGTAAACGTTTTTTTTATGATGATAAAAAAGTTATTGATAATTATGTGCATCTTTAAAAATCATTCCATATAAGATTTCATGGTTTTCACTAAAACAATTAGAATGAAAAACGCTTCAGAGATGAATCTTCTGATGACACCTAGAACTCAGATTAGATGTACCAAGCGCATAGAAAAATCGCTGCGCTAATTCGGATGTGGTATGAGCACTAGGAATTGTTAAGGTGGGTCGGTAGAAAACAATGTTCTAGCAGAAATTTTTGCCGCATGCCGTTAAATCGTTAGGCGATTCAAGCTATAAAAGTGGGCTTAATCTGTCAACAACAAATACATAACATGCACCGGATACAGGGTGAGATCAGCCATCTTCCAAGATTTTCAGATCACCAAAACTAAAGCTTTACATTGGAACCTATTAACAGATTGGGGAAGAAAACTATCCATAAGAAGCTGGGTTTATCATGAACGTGGACTTCCCCATTGACCCTAGGACTTCTATAGTACGATCATATACGAGTGGTCTTTCCGTATTACATATCTAATCGTGATTTTTACGTATTTTTATTTTTCTTTTTTTACATACTGGGTCTAAGAAGAGCGTCCTTGCTGGAAGCTGAGAATAAACTTACATCAATAATAGAAAAAGTTGGTTTCAGAGCCGTTAACTGTATCTGCTAATTGGCCTTCCACATCCTATGAGAAATTAGATATGTAGCTTTTTGGTCTTGCAAATCGTATTCTAAAAACAATGCTTTCCGAACTACGGGAGAGGCCCGCCGCAGTAGTTGGGCTCTTGCACTCATTAACAAATGGACGTTAATGCTAATTTTTCTCAGTTAGGTAAATTTAATAGATGTGCAAAAAATGTGAATTTTAAAAAGATCGTGTGGTTTTTATATATACTAGTCTCCGTACAGGAAACTAGATTCTGACCAGTTTCCTGTACGGAGGCTAATTGACTAAATATTATGGACAACAATGGCCGCAGTGGACATCGTCTATGAGTCAAAAGCTTTGTACACCAGTTATGAACCAGAGTAAAAAAGCTATTACAAGAATATGCGCCACATTGCAATATCATGCATTGCAATATAATGGAACTTTATTATTATTATAATAAAGTTCCATTAAAACCCCTAGAGAACTTTCATATAACTAGAACTAGTCATATATATAGTTATGACAAATTTAACTAGTGTACAGCTGTATATTTAGGAAGGCTTGTGGGCCTGGACGAAGAATTGTCTTTTACGACTGCTTGTAGGACGTGCTTACGTCCAAAAGCGTACTAATTTAATGATTTAGTGGAAGGTGCGCTTCGTGGAATGTAATATTCTGGTAGTACACGCTTCCGCCGTACACTTCTCCATACACTGCATTGTTCCTTAGCGACGGTGGATAAAGATAGTTTTTTTTTGCCTGAGATCAGTGTACGGTCAATATATATAAGCGCTGTGAAGAAGACGCACTATTTTGTAGCACGCGACCTGAACAATTTCGATGGCAAGCAAAGGCAAACATGAAGAGCTATTAGAAATAAAGTAGCCAGCCCTAGCCATAGCTTAAGGGATCACTTTCCTTTTGAGAAAACAAACGCGAAAGTTGATTTGGTCTCACTTCGCGAACTTGTACTCATGCGGCGGAGTAATTGATAACTTGAAGTGTGAAATTATCGTCGAGCTATCGGCGATCATTATACGGCGTTTCGGTGGAACGCACATCAAGAACAACGTGATAGAATGGACACACGATGTCAAGCAATTTCTATTAAATTGTAAGGCAGACCAAATAAACAATGAGTAAAACTCAAATAAAGATCGGATCGCTGTGATCACAGTGCTGAATCGCCGTATCTGAAGGAAAGCTTTTTTCAATACGTGATGTTAAATATTTACCATGTTATGTCCTGAAGCACGCTATTTCACGCTATATATATATAGAGCATTTAAGTTGAAGTTTCCTGTGCAAATGCCGAGATTTCGGCTCAATCCGGTACCTTAATGCCTATCTAAGGAATTCGATTTATTCAAAAATAATTTACGACACAGCTAGAAAAATAAACGAAATGAAATCATTTATCATGCTCCGATCTGTCAATGTTTTACCAGAACAGTATATCTGTTTTATGAGAAATCACAAACCTGCGTTATCTTCCGATAAACCTTTTTGGTACACTTGTAAAGAAACGTTCCTCTTTACAAGGAACTAGATAACGACGAGGCGATCACGAAAATGGTGACAAGTGGTCAGTTGTGCTGATTATTTTTCTGTTCCTTCCGCACATTTTCTATTCACAGATCCGCAGATGGATAATACTCCTCTTCAACTAACTATTAGATGCACCTATTTACACGAAGTAATTATTTTGTCTCAAAATGAAGTGTTATTTTAGGGTTTATTATATGTTATTATGACTTTCTTATGTATGCGTTCTCGATGGGGTCTTTCTCGACAACTTGGCCGCATTTATCGAAAATCAATTGCTACAGGTATCAATTTTTCGTTATTGCAAACATGATTCTGTACCTAACACAATACAAGTACATCGACTTCCTTAAACCATCAACCGAACTGTCGTTTTTGAATCTCTTTGTTCGTTAAATAAACCTAAACAAATTTTAACCCATCCGTTTTCAATTGAAATTTGTACTTTGAAACACTCTGATATGCTTGCTTCGACATTATCATGGTATCAAGTCGGTGCAAGAGAACGCTGAGCTTTGCAGACTATGCTTGGCAAAGGGTTCGAGGTAGGTAGGCGTCAGTGCGGAAACCTTGTACAATACGTTGATTATCACTCTTTGTGAGCCGATAAAGTTGTATTCTAGACTTCCGGAACATTCTTGCGTTAATTAGAGTAGCAAGCTTCATAAGAAAATAAATTGCCGATTCAGCGAATAAGGCTATTAACGAAGTCAGAAAGTGTTGCTACTCAGAAGTGTTCAATTCTTCAGAGGCACACCCGGTGGGACAGACGACACAGTGAATAGTTCTGAGATCTTTTTGTATTTAATTTCCTCAAAATTTTCAGCGTTTTTGATACACTTTCACCGATGCTCATAATGCGGATATAAACTTTACCATCCAAACCTCTGATATGTTCTCATTATTAGGTAAAATTGCAAAAGGGATACCAGTGAAGTCTATTTTCTCGATGTCAAATATGCACGACCCGTCGACATTTTTTCATGGAGCCAATAGACGCATACAAGCTAAGCTGTTATTATGCTCCTACCGTCAAAACGTTCCTATACGGAGCAGGAACAGGCACAGGTTTCCGTAAGTAGCCATTTCCTCTCCAAAGGCTTAAAGCCAAAATCGATCCCCAGCGTGTGCGACAATTAAAAGTTGGTCTCGGCTCCAACAGCAAGTTTACTCTTAACTGAGACTAATCGTGGTTGAACTCGTTCTGTTTATTGCTACAGGTTGCTTACGAATGCATTCGTCCGACACGAACAAAAGTATACAAAGTTGCGAACAACTGAGGAATAAGGCCATGATAGCAATCTCCGCGGCGGGTAAGTGATGGATCACGCAATACCGCAGAAATCCTTTGTTACAACTCTCGTAATCTCTTAGCGGCAGATCAGTTATATTCCTCGCTATGTTCGAAGATGTGATACGTGTATGTAGTCAGTACGCGTTAGTCCGATTGATTTACTAGGGTTGCTCCTCTTCGCTATGACCCGAACTGATAACATTAATCAATGCACAGTACGTTAGAACCGTTTCCTAGAAATAAAATAGTATTTATTGTTCTGGCAATAATTGGCTGATCAGTAATAGTGAAGTGTACTATCTGGGCTTAAACAAACTAAGCACGTTCGTAGCACCTCGCGTTATAAAATTTCACTCAAGTAAAGATACAGTAAGTGAATTTTTTATTGCTCGTCATAAAGCAAGAAGAAGTTGTCTCCAAAAACAAGTGTGTGACGTACAATCGAAAACTGTGAAGTTGAAACTAAAGCCACAGGGCTGTTTTAGAAGGCCACCATGGGAAACCATGAATACTTATTGGACGTCAACCAAAACCAATAAGCGTGATCCAGGCCAACTAAATGATGCCGTAGCTATTAGTGCCTAGGAGTGCCGCTAAGAAATGAACTATATAACTATTATACGAATCTTAGGGCATCTACGTCTGTCTAACCATAGGCGGATACAATCTATGAACTTGCGCACTGACCTACGGCGAATCGATCGATCTACTGGTCGATTCTAGAAAAATATGCAAAACATCGGGCACTTATATTTGCA